AAAAAAAAAAAAAAATAGGACTGTACGGATGAACAATAATATTTTTTTAGACTCAAGAATAAAGTACAATAACAACGAAACAGATGGAAGTTCATTTGGACTCAAATTGAGCACAAAAGCAACTTTTGGATATTTTTTTGGAATTTTTTTGGATCAAAGACTCAAAATATTATTGGACACAAGAACACGAAGAACGAATAACAAAGGAAAACAAAGACTCACAGAAATAAACAAGGATATAACCCAATTAAATTGGAGCCAAAGCTCTAATACCAAATGATGAGAATCACGTAGCAACAGTGACTACGAAATCCACAACTAGATTGATGTAGAACTAAAGAACGCCAATTAAACCAGATTTTGGATTTGAACCCAACAAGGTGAACAAAAAAATCCATCGATAATGACGATGCGTTGAACCCCTTAACTACACAATGAAGAACTGATGATCCGATGTTTGAACACCACAATAATCATTTACATCTTGATAAGTTCGGTATGTCCATGGAAGAACACAATTTTTGAAGCAAAATTTCGAGAGAAAATTCTCTTTAATTTAATTCATGTCAAACTTTGTTTCCAATCAAATAATAAAATTCCTATTTATACTAACCCTAGGAAATATAGGAAAAATGTGAATAATTGATAAAGATTACAAGAATTTTACCTAAACTAGAATTCTAGCAAAAATAAGGAAATTCGCATCAAAACAGTTTTCCCGGATCCGGATAGCTTTTAGTATTTTGGTCATATCTTCCTCTTCCAATATCCGATTGAGGTGATTCTTTGAGTTGAAAATCTTACTTCAAGGGATACAAATATTTTAGAAATACAAATCTTCAAATTCGAACGTATTCTATGCCAAAAATAGGTCTAAAATGGAGACTAAAAATTCAAGTGCTTTCCAACCCCGTTCCGGCTTCTGTCCCCAACATGTTACTTGACCATTGACTTGTTGTCTTCAATATTATGGACTCCGTTGTTAGATATTTGGGTTGAGGTAGATTCGACTGTTGCCATTCACTGCATCACCAGAGGTGGCGGACAGTGACTTATCCAGGGCATATTCAAACAGATTGCAGATATCGTTTTATTTGATAGAAATATGGTCTCCCACATCTTCAAAGAGGGGAACCAAGTTGCAGATGCACTTACTACCGAGGGTTGACATCATCGTAG